CTCAGCCCCATTTTCCTCATCTGCACAATGAGGGGATTTGATTAGATGTTCCCTGAGTTCCTTTTCAGCTAAGTCTATGATCCTATATCTCCAGGTACCTAAAGATAAGGAAGATCTGTTATTTCATCATTTTGGATAACTCTAAGTATAGGAACTTGCCTATGACTTAAATAAATAAGTACTCAGGAATTCCAAGGAGCAATTAGAGGTTAAGACTTGTCCAAGGTCACACAGTAACAGAGCGGAAAACCCAGGCCTTCCTGATTCCAAGCCCAACATTCTAGACACGGTATCACTCTGCCTTCTATCAGAAGATAAGTAATTATCAAATGAATGATGCATCCATAAATTCTGTCAAAAGAGAGATAGAGAGAGAGAGAGAGAAAGATCCTTTCAGTCTGGAGATGCCAGGGAAATATTGTCCTTCTAGAAAAAGTAAGCTTTGTTTCTCATCTTGTTCCCTGACATTGACTCCCCAGGAAAAATGACAATGTCCCAGATTTAGCTTTCACGTAAGTAGAATGTAGGAAAGGAAGATAATGCAAAAACTTCCTTCAGTAACAATTAATAAACAGATAATAATATTAATAATAACAATAGCTCTCACATTTATATAACTCCTTAATATTTGCTTTTGTTGTTGTCATTCAGTCATTTTGGTCATGTCCAACTCTTCATGACCCCATTTGGGGTTTTCTTGGCAAATATACTGAAGTGGTTTGCCATTTCCTCCTCCAGCTCATTTTACATATGGGGAAACTGAAGCAAACAGGGTTAAGTGACTTGCCCAGAGTCATGCATCTAGTGTTTGCAAAGCACTTTAAATAAATTAGTTCATTTGATTGTCACAGTGACCCTTGCTATAGATGTTATTTTTGTAGCCATTTTACAGATGAGGAAATCAAGACTAAGCAAAGTTAAGGGACAAGTCCAGAGTCACATTGCTAATAAGGCAGAACATAAGTCCAATTTTTCCTCCAAGTTCAGCACTTTAGCCTCTATACCATGTGAGCTCCATAAGGTCCTTTTTACTTTAGCATGACATATAAATTTTGTGTGTTTTCTTTCTTTCTCATTTCACTTTATTGTCAGGGTTAATCTTTAATTGGGGTTTTGAATAGAGCTCACTTAGCATATACTCACCCATGAATCCTTTCCATTTTCATTAAGAAATTTCAGGTGATTTCTTCTTACTTTTCCCCTTGGTTATTGTTTGAAATGACCTGCTCCATAGTGTGGACTGAGAAATAGTCTCTGAAATCCCTGGCAATTTGCTTCAACAAGACTGCTCATTTTGGAGTATCCCTGGTAATCACCAAGGGCACACTCTTATTACATAAAGTCAATTAGAGCGCATACGTGCACGTCCTGCTGATTTGATTTAGAACTAACTAAAGCTCTAGTAATGTGCAATTACAAGAAACTTAATGACCCCTTTATATCGAATGCAACGTCCATGGCACCTAATATACTGTGATGAATTGCTCATTATGTGTAATGTTAGAAAAGCTTCTATAAAGATGAATAATTGCATAATCAATATAGAAATTAAATCTTGAGGTTTTTTCCATTCTGAAATCAATAAGTCATAAAGATTATGGAACCTATCTTATTTGCCTATATTTGTCTAACTGCTCTTCTCCCTCTCTCTTTTGCCCCTCAATGTGTTATTTTCTAAGGGTAGCCCATCAGCTTGACTGATGTGCAAATTCTTCCTCATGCCTTCTCACAGAATTCCAGACCCAAGGTGTTTTCATATTCTGAATGAAGTTGTTCTAGGTTTTCCAGGTTTTTTGTTTTTGCTTCACTGTGAAAACCTGGAGTTGGCTATATTTTAGTTTAACCAATATAGTCATCTTTTGCCTAGGATTTGAAGGGAGCTAAGTCCTTCCAGATCTCAGATTCAAAAATTTTTTTTTTCTGATGGGTTGTATGTGTTCTGGTAGTTGAAATGAGAAAAAGAAGATACAAAATAAATGTTCTGTTATAGCCAATGCTTTCAGTCCCTTGGTAGTACCAAGATTCTCCCAATAAAAGGTCAACTTTCCCCAACTAGATCTCCAGTAACAGCCTGTTCATAAGAGAGTAGGCCTGGGTTTGTGATCAGGCCCTGGAGATCAGCATTGTTGGTCTTTCCCTTGAAAGAATGAGGAAGGCTATATGGTAGGTAATTTTTGCCACAAGCTCTGCCAGCACACAGTGCCCATGCTCTATGTATAGCTATGCTCCTACTTTGATGTTTCATGGTGGTGTGAAGTGATTCTGGGCTCCAAAAAACTACATCAATAGAGTAAAACATCTGATGGGTCTTATCAAGCTGGAAAGGCTTTAATTAGAGATTCAGCAAATGGGTATCTATTGTTCAAGAACCAGCCTAGCTAAGTTCAGAGAAGTTCATCACCAGACTATTGGTTGCTGGATGACTGATTATTTGGGGGGAGGCATAGGAACTGCCTCGGAAGGTGATGGGTAGTCCTTCCAATTTGTACTAGGGGAAGGTAAACTATGATGAATGCACAGAACTTTTGAAGTACCTAGCTATAATTAAAAATGGTGTAGTGTTTTGAATCACACCCTGTGTTAAAAGTATTTATTTTCTGAATATTCAATGCTTTATCCCACAACTCTGCCTATTGGATAGCTTTATCTAGTCATCAGAATAGCTATAGGCTAGACGTGGTTTGTTGGATTGAAAAAATGAAACAAATTGGGATAGGTTTGGGGAAAGGAAACTGAGATATTCCTTGAGATGTCATTAAGAATGAAAGAAAAAACTTTGTTCATCTGAGGTAACTTTTAACTTTCACGGAAGGTGAACAAAGAGTATAACTAAATGAGAGAGAGTTGTCATTCCAAATTTGGTTGATTCCTTTTCTTCTCTTTTGAATGGAAAAACCCTGCACTTATTATATTGCACACATATGCATGTATATACATACTTCCTTCCACTTGCAGTTAACACTTAGATTTTTCTACATAGGATAAATAATTCGGCCTGGAATTACATTGCTGTGAATAAGGAAGTCTGAGTTCTTATCCTAGTTTTGCTACTAACTGTTCATTTTGGAACATCCCTACTAATCACTGGGGAGCATACTGCTATTACATAAAGGCAATATGAGTGCACATAGGCATGTCCTGCTGATTTGATTTAAAACTAATTAAAATCCCAATTAAAAGAAACATAAGTACATATGTATGTATATTAATATACTTGTGTGTATAAACTTATAGATATCAAAATATATTAGGTGCCATAGACATTGTATTAGATGTAAAGGGACTACTAAGTTTCTTGCAATTGTATATAATATTGGAATTTTAGTATGTTGGAAACCCAGGTAGGAGTTAATCCCTCAATAAGAGATGTATTATCACATGTTATTCAAGGGCATGTTATTCAACTTTTCTGACCATGAATTTCATCTATGTGTTTTTGTTGTTGTTGTTGTCATTGTAGAGTCATTTTTCAGTCATATCCAACACTTCCTGACCCCATTTGGGGTTTTCTTGACAAAGATGCTAGGATGGTTTGCCATTTTCTTCTGCAGATCATTTTACAGATGGGAAAACGGATGCAAACAGGGTAAAATGACTTGCCTAGGGTCACACAGCTATTATGTATCTGAGGCTGGATTTGAATAACAGCACTCTATTCACTGCACCACATAGCTGCCCCTATCTACACAGTAAAGCTATTTTAATAGATGACCTCTAAGGTTCTATCTCCAAATTCAATGAATGAATGAATGGCTCAAATGCTAGTGCCATTCGTTCTTTTAAGCTATTGACATTTGATTAGATCATTATAAGAGGAGGGAAAAAGGGGAAAATTTCTGGTCCTTAGCCAATTCAATTGTATCTTCATTTGTTTTCCTTGGAAGGGCCATAGATCTAGAGCACCCAGAGTGAAGGAACTTAGACTTTCTGGAAATGCCAAAGAAGTCACCTGTGCTCATGAGAATAAAGTCATTGTTTCTACTTCTGTGCCTGTAATTAGTCATTTGTCCCTCTCTTGGACTCAAGAAGAATTACAGGGATGAGGGTTCCCTTGATACTAATGAAATTAAACATAGAGTTTGGTTAGACTTAAAATAGCATTTGAATGGATTAATAAATTAAAAAACAATTGAACAAAAACCAAAAATGATCTCTATTATATATATGTATACATATACATATTTAAATGTGTATGTGTGTATATATGTTCAAAGATGTATGATACATATACACATATATGTATGTATGTGTATATGTGTGTATATGTATATGTGTGTATATATATATATTTTTTTTCAAGGATCCTAGGAATGCTAGCTCTAATCTCAACTTTTACGCTTAGATGCTATCGTTTGCTGGCTTCAGTTCTTCTCTGTAAAATGGGAGTAGGAATGAGGGATTTAGTTCATTCACACAACTAGTTCTTGCATAATAATATCCAGAGAAATAAATGGCAAACCATTCCAATGTCTTTGCCAAGAAAACCCCAAATGTGGTCGGGAAGAGTCAGACATGACTGAAAAAACGACTGAACCAACAACAATGACAAAAAGATCGTGTTTACATAGCACTTTAGGATAAATAAGCCTGGGGAAGTGGGTTTTAAATCTATAAGGATTCCCATTGCAAAAGTGAGGACACTGAGGCTCAGAGAGATTAAATCACTCACTGGTGATCACACAGCTATAGTAAGCATCTGAGGTTGGATTCAAAGTCAGGCCTCTATGGATTCCAGATCTAGCATTTGTATGTTTTAAAAAACTTGGGAAGCACTTGATTAAAATGTCACTTTGAAAATGCTAAATACCCATAAAAATCAAATGTTCTTTGAGTTATCATTTTAATTTATTCCCCTCTACATCATGGCAACATTTTGTATCGGAATAATCAAATGAAGCCGACACACTCCCCAGTAGTGTTGCTTCATGCAGGCAAAGTAGACAAACCCATGCCTGCAGGCAGGTGTTTGCTGGTGATTGCTTCCGGCTGTTTTCTTACAGAAATGTCAGTGACAACCCATGCAAATTGTGGCCTTCCCCAAGCAGCCAGGTTGCAAGCTAAAACAGAGGATTAAAGTGTTGGGAAGATTGCTACTCTTCCCTGTGTCTGGGGATTAAAGTTTGTGAGCTGTGTGATTTCAGATGCCAAGGTAATAACAAAGCTTTCTAATGAATTTTCCTTATTAAGTTCCTCCCAACCCCGGTCTCCTTGTTTTCCTTTTCCTACCCTCCCAGGGAGCACCACACCCACTTAGGATCTGATTCTCCCAAAGGTACAAGCCCTTCTCCACCCACAGACCTTAGAACCTTTGGCTCTCAGAACTTCAAGCCTAATACAAGTTGTAGTTTTCAGAGGTATTTGAGTGTTCAAATGCAAGTGAGAGGTCTTTAATAGTGAATAAGAAGGCATGTCTTCATGCATCTCTAGAAGAATGGAAATTACTGTTAGTGATACTAAGAAGTACTAGTCCAGGGGCTCTTAAACTGGGGTGGAAGGACCACCAAGAGGTCCTGCAATAAATTTCAGGAGGTCCATGAACTTATATAGGAAAAAAATTACATCTTTATTTTCACTAACTTTTCATTGAAATTTAGCATTTCCTTCAATTATGAATGTAGGCAGCACTATATATGGCTCCAGACTGTTAAAGGGATCCATGTCACAAAAAGTTATATTATGTATACACATATGTATATATACACATGTATTTTACCTGTTATGTCATACATAGAGATAACATGTTTGCATATTATATGTGTATATTTGTATGAATGTTATATCTATCAGGGTTAGGATTAATATAAATATGTTATGCATGTGTTTGTATATATATGTATATATCTTGAGCTTTTGTTAAGCAACTACTATATGCCAGGCAGTTTAAACTCCTTGAACATGAACTTTTTTCCCCTACCTTTATTTCCCCAATGCTTAACACAATTTCTGGCACAAAGGAAGAGCTTGATAAATGCTTGTTTACTGATTGGAGACACAAAGCCAAAATGAAAAGTCCATGTACCCAAAGAGCTTATGTTCTAACACACATACACAATACATGTATATACACATGTATACATGTACATATATACACACATATACATATATACACACATGTATATACAGAATACACATACAAAATAAATCAGCTGCTAGTGATCTAGCAGCTGATATATAGCCAACCTATAATCATGTCATCCACAATATATAAATAAATATAATCTGTATGTATATATCATATATATATATGTATATGTATAAATATAGTAAATACAGATGAAGATGATGATGACATTCAGTTGTTTCAGGTGTGTCCAACTCTTCATGACCTCATTCGGGGTTTTCTTGGCAAGGATACTGGAGTGGTTTGCCATTTCCTTCTCTACCTCATTTTATAGATGAGGAAACTGAGACAAACAGGGTTAAGTAACTTACCCAGTGTCACACAGCTGGTAAACATCTGAGGCCAGATTTGAACTCACAAAGATGAGTCTTCCTGACTCCAGGTCCAGTATTCTATCTACTGTATCTACCTAGCTGCCCTCTATATATACATAAAGATTATATTTATTTATATATCATGGGTGACATCTAAGGTCTTCTAGTCCTCAAACCCATGAAGACATATGACAGTCATACTTTATTTCCTTAAACATCATGTATCATACATCTAAATATGCATATCTATGTATATATATATATATATATATATATATATATATATATATATGTGTGTGTGTGTGTATGTATATACGAATGTGTGTGTGTGTGAGGTAATTACTTCTGAAGGGCTAAAGACTGCTTCTCTCAAGGGTCTGTAGAGCACCATTTTAAAACTCAGGAAACAACTGGGTATACTTTCATATGTGTGCTCACATGCATGTACGTTAGGATTTAAAACAAATAGCTTTGGACACTGTTATGACTTACTTTGGTTCATGGACAAGTCAGGGAGAATGATTTCTAATGAGAACTAGACTTTGCCACTTACTTGTATGTATGGTACTTAAAGAAACAAGACCTAGCTATGTCATGTGTCTTTATGGATTCGAGGACTGGAAGATCTTAGGTATCATCCTTTCCAAAGCCCACTCATTTTACAGACAGGAGAAACTGAGACCCACAGAGCTTAAGGGACTTGCCAAGGTCTTACAGGTGGTAAGGGACAGAGGTGGGATTCAAACTAAGTCTTCTGACTCCAAATCCTGTACTTTTTTCCTTGTACCATATTATACCTTGTCCAACCTTTAGAGTGGAGTAACAACTTTTTAATGTTGCCTTGCTTTAGACTGTGGATAAATCAAATTTTTTAAAGCTTATTTTGTCAAGGACAATGATGGATCATGTTTGGGTAGTGGAAAGAGCCCTGGAATAGGGGGTAGGGATGGAAGCCAAAGCTCTGAGCACAGCTTTGACACTAATTAGCTATGTCAAGACACTTGTAATATGAGGGGTTTAGACTAGATGATCTCTAAAGTCCCTGAGCTCCAGAATTGGGGGGGGAGGAGGGTGAATCAATTCCTTTACTCTCTGGTTGTGTGACATGGTTTAGCAGAGCCTAGCACAGTCCTGGACACCTAGTAGATGGTCAAAATAATACTTAATAATTGACTTCCTGACTCCTTGATGACAAGTGCTAGGCTAGTGCCATTCTGCTAAAATTAGCTAGACAAACTTCTCTCCTCACCCTACCCCCAGAGATGGATGTTTTGAGTCACTGATTTAAATTTTAAGGCATGGGACTCCAACTGTCTTTACCTTTCCTAGGTGATCCGTACAGGCAGGTTTCTTAATTCCTTTCTTTTCCAGGTGTCCTTAATGCTATGATTCAGCAACCCTAAAAAGAGTTTAGCATCGTGGTACTATAGAAATCGTTGGAGGCTTAATTTAGAAGCTAACAACAACAACAATAGCAATAACTCATATGTATAGAGTACTTTAAAGTTTACAAATCACTTTCCATACAGTATCTCACAGAGCATATGTCCATCAGCATTCTCTGTGCTCTTGTTCAGATCATTTTAGTGAAAGTGATTTTCCTGTGCACTTTTAAAATTTTGTGGGTGAGTCAGGAAGGGATTTCAAATTTTAAAGACTTTTTTTTTTTGGTGATTAACAATAGACACTCAAGAAAGTATCTGCTAATTAACTGATTGGTTGGTTTGATTCATCAGTCAGACGAGGAGGAATGGATTCGTATTGGTGAGAATAAAATCCTCCTATTTTACCAATGTGAAAAGATGGAAAACATAACCCTGCTTGTCACATGTGATTTGAGGGGGTCAAGGATCCAATTTACCCGGGGAATTGGGCATCCTGGGATAGGCCCTCCCACAGTGTGCTGTTGTCATACCATTTGGGAAGAGATCTTCAGTGTCATCCTTTTCCCCATTAACTGTCCAAAACGTTTCTAACGACGTGATTTTTGCATTATTTGGAATTGTCAGGCTAAATAAGGAAATGGACGCTGAAGGTAGGAAAATTATTCTGTCTCAGTGGCTGATACTCCTGTATAACAATACTATTCATCAGTGCCAAAAATGCAGATGGGAGGATCATGTTTTATTAAAAATCTGATACTTGTTGTCACTCAGTTGCTCCACTGTCCTGCTCTCTTTCCAAAAATAGAAGGCCCAACGACTGTGGCTTATTGTGATTAAAAAGATAAAAATAAGTAGGTTTCCAATAGATCCGGGACACTCAAGGTAATACAAGATCTGATTTTCTAATGAAACTTGTGAAAGTGCATTTTCCATTGCTTCATAAAACTATTTTTTTTTCCGATATGTACTGAGCTCCTGTTTCATGTGTGAACTTTGTGTTTTCAGAAGACCAGTGCCGTTCATGTTCTCAGGACCAAATGGTCCTTCCTTTTTAACAAGAGCATTTCAAATCTCCAGCACCTACCATGGTGCCTTCTACATGTATAAGAGGTACTTGATAAATATTTGCTGAATGAATGAATGAAGGAGTGAATGAAAGAAATGAAACTGTTTTTGCTGTATAATATTGTGACTGATATTATCTAGTGCATATTTCAAGTTGAGCTGTAAATCGTGGGGAGAATGTTTAAGGTAAGCTTCCTATAAGGGTGAGAAAAATTCACCTCTTTTTTTGAAGGGAGGGAAAGAGGGACCCTAGCAGATATCTTTGTATTAAAAATTGAATGTATGCTTAGAACAAAGAAAAAACATTTTTCTTCTATTTATTTCTTTCTCATTTACAATTTTGAATTCCTCATAAAGATATATCAATAAGCTTACTGTACTTTTACAGTAATCTCTTAAATAAGGTCCTGGTTAATCTAAATATATAACCTCAAATGGAAACATTCAAAGCCATGTAGTCAACAATATGTTGGGGAAAGGGGAACCGGATATTCAAGAAATGGAAAAGGTAAATTTGTCAAAATATAGATCACATCTTATGACGCAAATATATTTGTGGTGAAAAATGTATCTTTAACAAAATGATTTTTAGCTACCATCCACTGTACCCTTTATTCCAAGAATGATGATATACAATAACATTCCAATTCAGCAAAAATAATTTGAACACTGCCTTAGATTCATTGTAATGGAATTTTACTTATAATGATAATTGAAAAATAAAATAAAATACAGACTTCTGATTTTTACTTGTGTGTGCATGTCTCTCTCCCTCTCTCTCTGTTTATATGTATGTATGTGTGTATGTATGTGTCTCTATATATACAAACTCACATACATATGTACACATACATGCATACATGTATATATGTATTGTGTTTACATATATCTTACATATACATATACACACATATGTGTATATGTGTATGTATATATGTATATGTATCTATGTGTGTATCTATGTGTGTGTATGTGTGTGTGTTATATATATGTGTGTATGTGTGTGTATATATATATATATATATATAATATATATATAATAGACATAGAACTAGGCCAAACCCTTCATTTTAGTGCTGAGGAAATTGAGAGATAGAGAAGACTAGACCAAGGTCACACAGGTAGAAACCAGAGCCAGGAATCAAACCCAAATCCTTTGTCTCTAAATCTAACATTCTTTCCCCATACACCATGTCACCTGGTCACCTAATTGTTCCCTTCCTTTGAGTTATAGCACTGACTTACCTGGAGGTCAGCTTTTTTG